CGTCTGTCGGTTCGTTGCCACTGGTAGGCCCTTGAGTGCGACTGAGACCTATGGTTGAGCTCTCTCTTGTGATGGTTCTACGGAGATTTTTCTTTTGGTCTTCCCTGTTTTCTTTTAAAGACATATGAAGGCTTGGTGGGGAAGTCTCTGTATGTCCATTCTGAGTACGTGACCGATTGTAATTCCAGCGACGCATTCTAATAAAATCAGACACATATTTTTGTTTTGTTTCCTGTCTTATAGATGTATTTGACCTGAAGTCCGACCAGTGAACATTCAATAGCTTTCGGAGGCATCTATTCTCGAAAGCGACTAGTTTCTTATCGATTGATACAAACTCTGCATAAGTTAGCAGGGATCATACAGGAATTGAAGACCTTAAGTTTCGTGTTGTTGCTGAGTGATCTGACTTCCAAATGTTTGACAGTTTGTTAAAGGCACTTGATGCTAACGCGATTCGAGTCGTTATTCTGATGTTGTATCTCCCGCAGAGGTTATCTTGCTCCCTAAAATGTGAAGCTGGTGATTTTTTCAAGAACAATATCCTTTAGTTTGATGTCTTTCGACTCGTTGGTAAATCGAATTTTCGTTTTGGCTGCGTTGAACTGAACGATTTGGCTTGAACGTTTCTGGAGGCAGTCCATTTTTTTCCTGAGCTTCTAGATGTGTTGTGCTCAGGAGTGCTAGGTCACAAAAGCAAAGTCAAGATCTTCGAGAAGTTTGTAGACCCATTTGATGCCTAGATGTGTGTCCTGTGCGCATTTGCGTTTGACCCAATCGAGTGCTATGCCGAAAAGCATCGGTGACAATACAATCCTTGTTTCACGCCTGTTTCTACTGGGAACCAATCAGAGTTACCAGATTCCGTTGGGAACAAGGCAGCGGGAAATGTAGAAGGCCTTTATAATATTGACATATTTATGAAACCATAGATTGTGAGTAGCTTCCAGAGTGTAGGGCGGTGTATGCTGTCAAAGGCCTTCTGAAAATCAACAAAGTTGATGATGAGTTGGGATTGAAACTCTACTGACTCTTCTACGATGGTCCTGAGTGTGAATATATGTCGATGCATGACCGATTCGGTCTGAACCTGCTTGTTCTTCTCGGAGTCTTGCATCTATTGGCTTTTTCAGTCTCTGCATTAGCATGCTGCAGAATAGTTTTCCTGGTACGGAGAGTAGGGTGATACCACGCCAGTTGTTGCAGTCTGCTAAATCACCTTTTTTGCTGGCAGTTTGAATATAACACCTTCTTTCCACCGCGGTGGGGATTCATTTAGCCAAACATCATTGAACAGCTGTAGCAAATATTGTAAGGTGTTTTCGTCTGCTGCCTTTAACATTTCAGCTGAGATTTCATCGGCACCAGTAGCCTTGTTCTTCTTTAGTTTTTTTATTGCTGATTTAAGTTCTAACATTGTGAATGGTTCACAGGTAGCATCTAGAGGTGGCATAGCTTCTTCTATTGTCGATGCAATTATGCAATTATGCAATTATCTGCAAACGATGCAGCATGGCATACACTGAGGAGACTGGCAGGAAGCTAGCTGATCGTTTCCGGGAACACCTCTCTGATATCGACAAGAAGACACTCAAACCAATCCCTCTTCATTTTAATAGCCCTGACCACAGCGGTAAAGATGACATATCTGTCACAGCATTAAAATCTTGCTCTGGCGATCATACTACCCGCCTCGCTTTGGAAAATCGCCTTATCCACAGCCTTGGCGTTCTTAGTCCAAGAGGTATCAATATCCAACATACCTTCATCTAAATAGTTCTAATCTTATTACATTTTAAATGTTAATTATTTTATTTTATTTCATATTATTACCATATTCTATTTCTTATCAATATCATTTATGTATCATTAACACTTGCATTTCTTTTATTCCCAGTATTGTGACTATATTTTTTAGCAATCGTTTATTTTATTTTATTTCATTTATTCCGCATCACATTTTTTAAACGTCGCTCACGTCACCCCTTAGAGATCTACATACTCTCCATTCCTCTTTTGTGTAGTCCACTTGTGTTTGAAAAAGGCTGCCTGGCCGAAACGTTACGTTGTGTTGTTTTGTGCACGTTTTCCTTTTTCCCATTTTGTTGAGCTTTTTAGTCAAATTTCTCTGGAATTCAAAGTTAGTGACACAATGTTGGAAAGATTTAAATATCAATTGTACGATTTCTTCCGTAATCACCCTCTTTCCCCCTCCCCCCACCCATTTTGCGAGTGTGAAAAAAAAAAAATAAAAAAAAAAACATAATAAAATATATGTATATATAAAAAAAAATATATATAATATATATATATATATATATATATATGTATATATATATATATCATCATCAGGTGCCTTGCCGACTGGCGTGGGTGATCATGCCTCTCTACAATCTGCGATCTCCTGCAGCATGTTATCAGTTCGTGTGCTGACACACCTCCATGCCATGCAACAAGACTGTCAAGAATATTCCATCGTTGTCTTCCTCTATCCCTCCTTTCACAGATATTTCCAATAGTCATAACATGTTCTATTTTCCCTCTTCTCATAACATGGTCAAAAAAAAAAAATAATGACTGTCTCCGTCTGATGTCTGCGTTAAGTTGTCTTTGGGCTTCCGCCTCTTTCAAAACCTCTTGGTTGCTCTTTTTGGTTGTCCACGGTATTTTAAGCATTCTTCTATGATTTGATTTGATTGATTTGATATAAGAACCGACATCACAGCACTCAGGGCATTCCCATAAGTGCTCCGTCCCCATCTTCAGCAGCCAGCGAAGAGTTCCGATACTAATGGTACCAGTAGCATTCTGATTAAACGCCCGTCTTGCCTTTCCTCTGAGCCTCAAGCATCTGCCAGAACCTCTCGTCACTTCCCCCTGCATGAATCTCACGAGACTGTGGTGATCCATCTTCTCCTCTGAACCGTAAACGCTCTCCCACAAGGCACTAACCACGTCTGCCTTATCATGTATCAGTATTCCACCAAGGTGTGAAGAGCCATCCAGTCTGTCCGCCTGTTCATTTCCCAACACACCGGCGTACCCGGTGAAAAAATCCAGACAATAATTCTAACTCGTGTCCTCCGCAGCGAAGCATACCACTCTGCACGAAGCATACCTGTTCTGATCTTCCTCAGCATGCTTTCTGAATCAGTTACAATCACGATGTGTGTGTCGCCTTTCCCTAGCTAGCGGAAAGCTGCAGTAACCGCCTCCACCTCCATTCTTAAGCTGGATGTTGTGGTACCATATGCTAGGCTCTCCTGCACCATGTTAAAACTAGATGTATGTAGCAAGCAAGAATTCTTTTTCTAACTCTCAATGACAAAGTTATATCGCATAAGATGTTCTTCATTTTATCAAATGCAATTTTTGCCTGTCCTATTCTGTTTTTTTTTTTTAAATCTCGGTAATGCATCTTCCATCTGATGTTATTCCTGTGCCCAGATACTTATATTTATGTACTTGTCCCAAAATAACACCATTTACTTTTTATGACACATTTAGGAATAATTCATATATATATATATATATATATATATATATATATATATATATATATATATATATTTGAGAGATAGAGAGAGAGAGAGAGAGAGAGAGAGAGAGAGGGAGAGAGAGAGAGAGAGAGAGAGAGAGAGAGAGAGAGAGAGAGAGAGAGCTACACTATGTGTATGTGTGTAATCTGGTAATCTGGATTTACGAGATTACACACACACACAAACTCCTCAGACGCTGACCATTGTTCCTATGACGTACTGTTTAATAATTCCCCCTAGTTCTCTAGATCTATTAGTCGCCAGCATAATATTTATGTGGTCCTATTGTCACAAGCTTGATGTATCCGGTCATATATGCATGAAGGGCAGTCCACTGGAGTTCAAATTTCTTGCAGTATTGTAAATAATGTTCAATACTATTATTTAATCTATTTAATTATTATTATTTTGAAATCAGATCAAATCAAATTAATGTTCAATACTATTATTTATTGGACACACAGAAAAGCTGTTTTCTCCTATAGTGAAATAAACTACCCTATGCTGTGCAGTCCCCAGTAATTTTTTTATGGAAGAGATTTTTAGCTGACTAGTTATCTACAGTTTCTAGTTGAAGTTTTAAGCATTTTGTAAGCATATTTTCCCACATGTATCTTCTTTTTCTTCTTCACTTCCTTTTTACCGCTGTGGGTGTCGAGGGAGATATAAGGTTCTGTTTCTAGCTCTTCTGGCCGCACTCGACCATAGGCACATCTTGCTGTTGTAGAGTTTCTCTGATGTTATCCTTCCATTTGTTCTTGGTCTACCTCGTGCTCTACGTCCTTTTTCTCTTCCATGTATGCTTTGTATGGTATGGTGTCACAAGGCATTCTCTCTAAGTGGGCAAACCATTTCACTTGCTGTCTTTGTATATAATTTAGAATTGGTTCTGTGCCGACTTTTTCTCTTATGATCTCATTCCTGATCTTATCTCTTATAGTCACTCCTACAGCCCTTCTCAGACATCTCATTTCCATGGTTACTAATTTTCTTTTATGGTTTGTTGTGAGTGACCATGTCTGGCACTGGGAGCACAGAGTTGGAAAAAATATGCTTTGAATAAGATGTCTCTCTGTGCTGATTGGGATTGTCTTATGCTTTAAGAGGGAGGCTAGCTGTCCCAATACTTGGTTTGCTTTACTGCATCTAATGTCAATTTCTTTATCCAATTTCCCATCTTCGGTAAATTTAGTTCCCAAATATTTAAACTGAGATGCCTGTTTAATGCCTTTGCACTCTATTGCTATGTTTAGATCTGTCCCCACACATAAATGGATCAAAGGTTGTGGTACTCAAATAAAAAAAGCACTAACAATTACAACAGCGTAACCTCCCCGCTGTAACCTTTGACCCCTGAAGTCAACAGGACAAACAATCTCTAGTCTCTCCTTCACTTAATTTTAAGAGGTTAAACGTAACCATTAGATCATTTGTTTAACTAATCTACAGCGTGTGTTGGATATGGCGTCGCGACAGATCGGCAAAGTTGCGCTGAAGAATTCTGCTTTGTTTATTTGTGACCTACAAGAGAAATTCAGCAACACGGTGAAGTATTTCCCGCAAATAACCGCAGTGGCAGGACGTCTGCTGGCTGCGGCCGAGGCCTTGCACATGCCCGTCATCGTCACAGAACAGTACCCGAAAGGTAATCTCTAGACTTTTCTAGAGTTGCACAGCTTTCTTTATAGCTAAATTACAAAAACAATATAGAGTTTATCTATTGCACAAACAAGTATGATATTACAGTAGCTATCTATCTCATTACGTCATTAAGAAATAAAATGTATGTGAGTTTTTTTCGGAGCTTAAAACTGGCTTAACTCCGCTTAACTCTATCAGGACCATATTTTTTCTGGGGTTTGGACAGCATTAATTTTGAGCGGAATTTTTTTCCACTGCAACACGACAACACCTTCCTAAAGAAAAGGTATTGGCTGTATCGGGATATATATATATATCAAATAAAAGATAAATGAGTGCAGAATAAATCTAAACTATTTAAATGTTAGCATTACAACAATTATGGCTATCCTCCGAATAACGGGCACATATAATACTATGGCGGCCCAAAACACAAAACACATGTAAATTGCGCACTTCCGGCGACTGCCGCCACCACCGAGAGCGTCTCCCACGCCGCTACGAGTGGTGTGGAGCAGGGCTAAACTAATAGGCTGGGACTCACGAGCAAATAAAATGAAGGAAGCTGCAGGAGATGTGGTAGCTGCTGCTCGTGAGTTCTAGCCATCTAGTTTAGCCCCGCTATAACATGGACAGAGAAGAAAAAAATAATTACAACCTGAAAGATCGGAACATAAAAGAAGGCGTGGCATTAAGTAGCTTCTTAACTTGGGAACTGAACTATTTTGGCCACATTAACTCTTTGAGTCCCAGGTAATATAATTTTGACTTTTAACAAATGCAGCACTTTAACTCTTTGAGTCCCAAGGAACGCATCATACGTTCATAGTTTCCTACCTAGAGGCCCAATGAACGCATGATGCGCTGATTTAACGTCTCTCTTGACTACCCCTTGGGCCTTTGATGATAAACCCCCTGGGACTCAAAGAGTTAAAACAAACCACACAACTGCAGCTGACATATCATACATTAAATTAAACATAAATGGATAAGGATTAATATTAGCATACTGCTACAACAAACAATTATACTGTTAGTTAGTATTTAGTAGAGAAAACAGTGACTTAGTTTGAGAGGTGAGTAAATTATGAACAAGTTTTTTTTTCCACTTACCGAGAAGCTGATCCCAAAATTCTTGATATAGTATATCCAAAATACATCACAAAGGAAGGTACACCACTTATAAGTATGCACAGCCAATATTAAAGCAAAATGTGCAATAGTTGTTGTTCCATAGTGATTTTAATAACACTACCATAACACGTCAAAATATATTCTCCAGTGGCAAAAACAGTGACTTTTCTAAAAACAGTTGAATTCCTCACATAGAAAAAACTGTAAAGGCACTGTAAACATGTCAACCTGTTCATAGATATATATCTATGGTTTTAGATTGTATGGATGTAGTATTAGAAGCGCTGACATTTGGACTAGCTGGTGTCGCGTTACGAGGTGCTTCTCTTGTGTTGCCATGGCAGAATTAATCAGTTTTGTCCTCTTAGCAGGAGGTAAATTACGCACACATCCTCATCAAAACTTGACTCGTTAACGGTTTGGGGAAATTTCACGTCACTACTATCATTATCCAACTCAACATTACTTTAATCGATCCACTGTTTTATCAAATTTGATGATTCTAAAGAAGTAAATCGCTTTGATGGGCGTGAAGACGATGACTGATCAGACATATTGTTTTCAGACAATTGTTTGGTAACGTAGTAGACCACACAAATATAGATTTAAAGCTTTAAAAACTCACCAGACCCAAACGAATGCACTCCACAGAGTGTTCACTACACACTTGAGAACCAGAAAGGAAGTTTAAATTAAGCGGTTCTCGTGTAATTACCGATAAGTGGTAAATTAAAAACCGTCACACGTCATGCGCTGTTTGGGCCGCCAAGTAGTAACAAATTAGAACGTGATGCATTCCTTGGGACTCAAAGAGTTTGGTGCTACAGCGGTTTAGAACAGTTGATAGTAGAAGACATGGAACCAGGAAGGATAGGAGGAGCAGGGATCTACCAGCACAAAGATGAACACAGGATATGTCACACCTTGGGTAGGAAAGTGCACAAGATGGGAGAGCTGGCAAGAGACCCAGTTTCTTTCAAGCAGACCCTGAGGAGAGTGATTCTTCTCTCTTTCTTATTGTACCCCACCAGGACATCACACAAGCGATAAACACCCAGTGACACAAAGTGCCACCACGTGGATAAGAATAACAAAGCCAGTGACTGAAACAGGTCTACTTCGCAACTTTCTCCATCTTCTTGTTCTTCTTCGCGTTCACTAGCTGTAAACTCTGGTGGAAAGTTCTGGTTGTTCGTCCATTTCTGGACTGCAGTCTGTTCCAGAACCTGAGTGTTGTGTATGCATCCATTTTACAGATCTGACTCATTTGTTTGCATACTGTTGGTTCCTTGCCTCTCAGGCAGACGCACTCCGACTTCGAAGAAAGCTACCAGTTAGTCGGCTCTTACGACATACTTGTGAATAAGTAATGGACCTATTTTTGTTTTTCCTGTAATAGGGAAAGCTACCAGTTAGTCGGCTCTTACAACATACTTGTGAATAAGTAATGGACCTATTTTTGTTTTCCCTGTAATAGGGAAAGCTACCAGTTAGTCGGCTCTTACAACATACTTGTGAATAAGTAATGGACCTATTTTTGTTTTCCCTGTAATAGGGAAAGCTACCAGTTAGTCGGCTCTTACAACATACTTGTGAATAAGTAATGGACCTATTTTTGTTTTCCCTGTAATAGGGAAAGCTACCAGTTAGTCAGCTCTTACAACATACTTGTGAATAAGTAATGGACCTATTTTTGTTTTCCCTGTAATAGGGAAAGCTACCAGTTAGTCAGCTCTTACAACATACTTGTGAATAAGTAATGGACCTATTTTTGTTTTCCCTGTAATAGGGAAAGCTACCAGTTAGTCGGCTCTTACGACATACTTGTGAATAAGTAATGGACCTATTTTTGTTTTCCCTGTAATAGGGAAAGCTACCAGTTAGTCGGCTCTTACAACATACTTGTGAATAAGTAATGGACCTATTTTTGTTTTCCCTGTAATAGGGAAAGCTACCAGTTAGTCGGCTCTTACGACATACTTGTGAATAAGTAATGGACCTATTTTTGTTTTTCCTGTAATAGGGAAAGCTACCAGTTAGTCGGCTCTTACAACATACTTGTGAATAAGTAATGGACCTATTTTTGTTTTCCCTGTAATAGGGAAAGCTACCAGTTAGTCGGCTCTTACAACATACTTGTGAATAAGTAATGGACCTATTTTTGTTTTCCCTGTAATAGGGAAAGCTACCAGTTAGTCGGCTCTTACAACATACTTGTGAATAAGTAATGGACCTATATTTGTTTTCCCTGTAATAGGGAAAGCTACCAGTTAGTCAGCTGTTACGACATACTTGTGAATAAGTAATGGACCTATTTTTGTTTTCCCTGTAATAGGGAAAGCTACCAGTTAGTCAGCTCTTACGACATACTTGTGAATAAGTAATGGACCTATTTTTGTTTTCCCTGTAATAGGGAAAGCTACCAGTTAGTCGGCTCTTACAACATACTTAGTTAGTTAGTTAGTTAGTTAGTTGGGTTATCGTCATTGCACTTCGGACATGTCCATAGGTGCTCAGATCCTCCCCTCAGTATGAACCCCAACGTCCGATGGCTAATAGTACCAGTTCTATGTTGATTAACAAGTCTTCTGACGTGTCCGGTGTGCGTCTCGTTTTTTGCTGTGCCGATCTTAATTCCCAAGTCTGCCATTCTGGCGAGTGATGTGGATTCACTGCCACCAAAGTCCTCTATCCTTCCCATTTCTCTGAGGGCATTGATAATATCAGCATGATCCATAGGCCGACCGTCGGTAGTGATAGCGGATCCAGCCAACCTGTCAGCTCTTTCATTTCCATCGACGCCTGCGTGTCCCGGAACAAAATAAAGTTGACTCCACGCACAGTGGACTTCTGTAATGATTCAAGCCATTGTCTTCGCACTGAACCTGCCTGAACCCTCCGGATCATACTCATTGAATCACTGAGTATACATATGCGGGTGTATTTTTGTGTTTCAAGCCAGGCAAACGCTTGCGTCACTGCCATCACCTCCATCGTCATGCTGCTGGTTGTCATGGAGAAGGCACCGTTGGCTTCTTTGACTGTTCTGCCCGCTGAGCGTGCTGTAAATGCCCATGCGCTTCTTCTTTGGCGTATAACGGATCCGTCTGTGTAGATTAGTGCATCTGCTTCGTCTGAATTTTCACCGATGAGAGCGTTGACCTCTGCATTAACAGCTACAGGATTCTCTTCTCTACATCGCCTGTTGAGTGTGACAATACAGGAAAATGTACAAATAAACGCCTGAGGCACAGGTATCCATTCTGCACCAGGTATGATGTCGGTTAGGCTGCATATTTGCCTAATAACATCTTCTGCCCGACCTAGCCACGATTTTCCCCTCTTCAGTCTGTCGCCCTTTTCACTAAAAAGCGCTTGATGCAGTGGGTGTTTCTTATCAGCACATATTTTGAGGTATGCCCGAGCCCTCCACATTCTGATCCTTTGGTTCATTGTTGGAAAGTCAAGTAGATACCTCATTGCTTCACAGGATGTGTCTCTTGTACATCCCAAAATAATGCGCATGGCTTCATTTTGCACCTTTTCGAGTCTTTCAATCTGGGTAGCACTGACAGTGAGGATGGCCAGAGCGTATTCAATGGGTGAAAGGACCAGACCGTAGAATAGAAGTATTAGTAGTCTTTGCTCGATATTGGAAGCAGCCATAATCCTCATTGCAGATAGACCTTTGCGTGCTTTTGTTATCACATGGTCAACGTGTTCCCTGAATGACAAGCTGCGATCGAACCTCACCCCGAGAAACGTCATAACGTTGGTTCTGATCAATATATTATCACGCATTTTCACTTCTGGTAAGTCCGACTTGACAATGTGATTGTTCAAAGAGAACCATGACACTGATGCCTTCGAAGGATTGACATAGGCATTGGAACCATCACACCAGGCGGCAATTCGATCGAGTTCTTTGTGCATTGTGCTGGCGATCTCCTGTCTATCACGCCCTCGTCGATAAATCAAAATGTCATCAGCAAATGACAAAGTCCTTCCTTTTCCATTCAACTGCTGCTCAGTGATACTTGTGAATAAGTAATGGACCTATTTTTGTTTTCCCTGTAATAGGGAAAGCTACCAGTTAGTCAGCTCTTACAACATACTTGTGAATAAGTAATGGACCTATTTTTGTTTTCCCTGTAATAGGGAAAGCTACCAGTTAGTCAGCTCTTTCAACATACTTGTGAATAAGTAATGGACCTATTTTTGTTTTCCCTGTAATAGGGAAAGCTACCAGTTAGTCGGCTCTTACAACATACTTGTGAATAAGTAATGGACCTATTTTTGTTTTCCCTGTAATAGGGAAAGCTACCAGTTAGTCGGCTCTTACAACATACTTGTGAATAAGTAATGGACCTATTTTTGTTTTCCCTGTAATAGGGAAAGCTACCAGTTAGTCGGCTCTTACAACATACTTGTGAATAAGTAATGGACCTATTTTTGTTTTCCCTGTAATAGGGCCCTGGAGCCCACACAAGGATTTTCTCTATCTAACTGAGGATAAATCTGATAAATTCATGTTTCATTTAAATTTGAGTTTCTAAAGCCATAAATAATGTTGGCATATATGTAGAATACTGCTCGGCAGCCATATTGTTTTCAAACAAACACTTAGTAACCCAGTTAGTTAGTTAGTTAGTTATTCCTCTTGTGCCAAAGATGGCGCATAGGGCAGAGGTCATAGCTTTCCACGTCTGTCGGTTCGTTGCCACTTGATGTAGGTCTTGAGTGCGACTGAGACCTATGGTTGAGCTCTCCCTTGTGATGGTTCTACAGAGAGTTTCTTTTGGTCTTCCCTGTTTTCTTTTACCCTCTGGTGACCATATGAAGGCTTGGTGGGGAAGTCTCTGTATGTCCATTCTGAGTACGTGACCCAGTTAACCCTATACTATATTTAAGGCTTTTAACCACATTTCTAAATAAACCTATGGGTCTGTATGTGCAATATAGAACACCACGAACTGGAAAGGAAGTTTCCGTTGTCCAGTTTATAGTTTTATACTGGTCAGGAGTCAGTTAAAAACTTGAATGCATCACGCACCGATTGGGACAGCGGGTAGTTACCAAATAGCGCTTTCTGTCTCGTGGTCCATGGTCACTAAACTTCCAATTGTACATGGTTTTTATCTTTCAGTCATTTGCCATTCTCTTTAAATGTTGCAACAATTTCAGTATTTCTTCCAGTTTTTAGAAGCAACTTAAAGAGATTGTGAATGTCATTGTTTCACTCTCCATTCCCCACTGTTTGCATCATTGTTTCTCCTCTGAACACACTTAGAAAATCATTACAGTCTACACCGATCAGTCTATAGTTTTAATCTTTTTCTGCTTTTTTTTTTTTTTTTCTGGCCCTCCATGGTATTTGCATTTTCTTCAGAAACCTTGTTTCAGCTTATCTGCTTATTATTCATATTTGAATGCTTACAACAGCGTTATATAATATTGAGCTCTATGTAACACTCATTTTCATACTTCAGTTGAAAGCTTTTTTTTTTTTCATCTATTAGTATGTTTTCCATCTTGCTTGCAGAATGTGACTTTGTCCTGTACTAATCTTTACAAGACATCTTCAGTCTGTTGCAATGTGGTATATAACGGTTAAAAGGTTAAAGGCGATATGATCGACTTCATTGCACTGGGCTTTATCTCATATAACTCGGTCTGTCTCCACACAACAGCTTGCCACCTGCAGAGTGCCTCATACAAAGCATGGACTTTTTATCTCCAACGCTAATCTTGTGGAATCTCCATAAAATTTCACTCCTGATTGATTGATTTGATTCAAGAACCGACATCACAGCACCCGGGGCATTCCCATAAGCGCTCCGTCTCCATCTTCAGCAGCCAGCGAAGAGTTCCCATACTAATGGTGCCAGTAGCTTTCTGATTAAATGTCCGTCTTGCCTTTCCTGTGAGCCTTGACCTTCTGCCAGAACCTCTAGTCACCCCCAACTGCATCAATCTCACCAGACTGTGGTGATCCATCTGCTCCTCCGAATTGTACACGCTCTCCCACAAGGCACTAACCACGTCTGCCTTATCATGTAGCAGTATTCCACCAAGTTGTGCAGAGCCAGCCAGCCTGTCCGCCTGTTCATTTCCCAATACACCCGCGTGACCTGTTGAAAAAATCCAGACAATACTCCTCACTCATGTATTTCACTCCTGAACCGAACATCAAAGCTATGAAACGATCCCATGACCTTCAGAGCATAAGGCAAATGACTTGGCCACTGTGGCGTGAGGAATTCACACAACTAGTAAATAAAGTAGAGGACTATTTTTATGCCAGTGTCATATCAGGCATATGGTGCTAGAGTAGTCAGCAGTCGATCGATGATGGGGTCGGTATTTCACCAGCTGTTGTGACTTCATAGAACATGTCCTGGTACCTGTTTTAGGCTAGTTAACCTGAAAGCTCCAGCCTTGAGGGGGTACCAGGTATAGTCTTGGAAAGTAAAGGCGGCCAGCGGGATGCTGACCACGGTTCCAGTTTTTTAAAATAGTACATTGTGGCACTTCTTTCTCCTTGGAGATGTTTTCTTTCATTTTATCTCTATCCCTTGATTCTCAATGTGTATAATACCGTTTACTTAAATTCCGACCTCACTCAACATTATATCGTCCACATGTCTTATGTTGTTTATGCTAGGTTATCAGGCAGTGACTTGAAATACTTCTCATCATGTCTCTGTATTTTGAAACAGATTTTAAATTGCTACAAGATAGTTCAGTAAACAGAGATGACTAGTGACAATTTAAACAAGAGAGAAAAATGCTGTGTTAAAATCTGCATGTAGTTTTAAGCATAGATTTCTTTAACTCTTAAAAAATAGGCGCACACGTGCACACATGAACGCATGCATGTATATACATGTATGCATGTGTGCGCACACGTGCACACATGAACGCATGCATGTATATACATGTATGCATGTACACATGCATACAGTCACGCATGTAAACATGCACATGTACATGGACACACACACACAGATGCACACACATCTGAATCTGAAGTCACATGTCAACCAGATGAAATTTAAATGAACAGTACACAAATAATATGTTTGTGGGCTATCTTATCAGTGATCTCTCAACCGAATATTTTAAATTTAATTTCTCTGCCCTGGTTATACCTTTCAGTAAAAAAAGAAAATACGAAGTAACTGCAGTTAAACTGATATCAGGAAATCACAGACTATCATTAGAAAACCAAACGGGATCAAGGAAAACTGTGCAGAGCTACAACCGAATGTAGACCAGAGTCTTTATCAAGGACAAAATATCAAAATTATAAACAAATAACTAGGTCACAGAGTCTTTTCCTTTCTCTGTATTATGCTTTGTAGCTGTTGTTTGTGCTGTGTTAATATATTCCTTTCAGTGTTGGTCAGAAAGATCTTTCTGGACACAAAGTTTATGAAAGTTCATTAAATTCAAATGATTTTTCCACCAACTATTAAATCAGAGACTACTTAGATACTTGGATAGCTTAGCCATATGAATGGGGTGAGGCAAGAACACAGATCTGTGATTCTGGTGATCACATGAGATGATGAACTGACAGTCTACACCTAACAGCACAGCACATGATGATGCTGTAATTAAAGGGTTTATGAATTGAATCATTGATATTATCACCATTACCTTTAATATATTTTATTTATGTCACCCTGCACCTAACAGCCACTATTCATATGTAGTTACATGTTAGCTTTAATGGATTATTTATGTCACTGCACAGTTAACTGCTATCTGTAAAATGGATTATTTATGTCACAGTACAGTTAACTGCTATCTGTAAAATGGATTATTTATGTCACAGTACAGTTAACTGCTATCTGTAATATGGATTATTTATGTCACTGTACAGTTAACTGCTATCTGTAATCTGGATTATTTATGTCACTGTACAGTTAACTGCTATCTGTAATCTGGATTATTTATGTCACTGTACAGTTAACTGCTATCTGTAATCTGGATTATTTATGTCACTGTACAGTTAACTGCTATCTTAAATATGGATTATTTATGTCACTGTACAGCTAACTAATGTCTGTAATATGAATGATTTATGTCACTGTACAGTAAACTGTTATCTTTTATATGGATTATTTATGTCACAGTACAGCTAACAGCTGTCAGTAAATAAGGATTATTTCTATCACTGTACAGCTAACTGCTTTCTGTAATATGGATTATTTATGTCACAGTACAGCTAACTGCTGTCTGTAATATGGATTATTTATGTCACAGTACAGCTAACTGCTCTCTGTAATATGGATTATTTATGTCACTGTACAGCTAACTGCTGTCTGTAATATGGATTATTTATGTCACTGTACAGCTAACTGCTGTCTGTAAATTTGGATTATTTATGTCACTGAACAGTTAACTCGTGTGTTCGCTCCCTGGCGGAGGCGGACTTTTTTCAAAAATGACCTTGGCTCCCAGGTCGACCCAGCCTCAAGTAGGTACCGGGTGCAGTCCCGGGAAGTAAAGACGGCCGGCGTGATGCTGACCACATCACCCATCTTGTGCCGATTGGTCTATAAAAATATAGGTCTAGCCCTATATGCCCTATACACCTAAGGCGTGGAAAAGGGTCCTTTACTTTTTTTACTTTACTTACAGTTAACTGCTGTCAGTCAATGTAGATTATTTATGTCACTGTACAGTTAACTGCTGTCAGTCAATGTGGATTATTTCTGCCAGGTCTGGGACATACAGTGCCACTGTTGAACGTTATTCATCATAAAGTCTTTCCAAAGACTGCATTTTCAATGTTGGTGCCTGATGTGCAGGAAGAGTTAGAGAAACATAAAGGTAAAAATAATATGATTTGTTTTGTATAGTGAGGAGATGTTTTATGAGGTAAGATGTTTTATTTGGTAAGGAGATGTTTTATGTGGTAATGTGATGTTTTTTGTGATAAGGAGATGTTTTATGTGGTAAGGAAATGTTGTATGTAGTAAGGAGATGTTTTAAGTGGTAAGAAAATGTTTTATATGGTAAGGAGATGTTTTATGTGATGTGGAGATGTTTTATTTCGAAATGAGGTGATTTATATGGTAAGGAGATGCTTTATGTAGTGAGAAGATGTTTTATGTGATATGGAGATGTTTTGTATGGTATGGAGATGTTTTTGTGTTGAAGAGATGTTTTATGTGACAGTGAAGTGTTTTATATGGTAAGAAAATGTTTTATGTGGCAAGGAGGTGTTTTTTGTGGTAATGAGAAGTTTTATGTGGTAAGGAGATGTTTTATTTCGAAATGAGGTGATTTATATGGTAAGGAGATGCTTTATGGGGTAATGAGATGTTTTGTGTGGTAAAGAGATGGTTTCTGTGATGAGGAGATGTTTTATGTGTTAAGGAGATCTTTTATGTTGTAAGGAGATGTCTTGAGTACATGAGCTGACCCACCTAGTGCTGATTGGTCTACAAAATATGTGTCTAACATCAAGTACCCATTGCGCCTCAGATATGCCCTTCATTGAGGGGGATACTCAATGTTTCCTAATAAAGGTTAGTTGCGCATCCTTTACAGGACGTTGCAGAACCAACCCCAACAGCCTCTGGCCTCTGTGTGGTTTTTCTAGGCAAATTTACATCCAGTAGTTTGCCATTGCTTTCTGGACGGTTGGCATTCTTGATACCACTGTCGAAACCAACGCAAGGCGCATGGCCCGCAGCTGGGATCAAACCCGGCATTACTAAGCGTTCGCATCGACTTAGCCACAGAGCCGACGCTTCCTAATAAGTTTGTAAAATTAGCTTAAAGTTTCGAACAAAGTTGTGAAACATTTTATTTTTCAACCAAATTATCAATTTGAGGCGAGAGGACTTTCTTTTGTCTTGATTGTTTTCCTGCAGTTTTCAAGACTTTGGTTTAGAGACTAATGTTTATGTTGTCTCAACGGTTTCTATGCAGATTGTCTGTGGTGTGGAGTCACATATTTGTGTTGTATCAGCTGTTTTGATGCAGATGTTATGTCTGTGGTATATAGACTCATGTTTGTATTGTCTTACTTGGTTCCTTGCAGATATCATGTCTGTGGTATATTGATTCATGTTTGTGTTGTCTCAACTTTTTCTTTGCATATGCCATCTTTGTATATATTCTTTTTTTTATTTTGTCTTGATTGTTTCCCTGCAAATGTCATGTCTGTGGTATAAAGACTCATGTTTGTGCCGTTGCAACTGTTTCCCTGCTGATATCAGTCTGTGGAATAAATACTTATGTTTGTGTTTTTTCAACTGATTCCCTGCAGATATCAAGTCTGTGGTGCTCTGTGGCATAGAGACTCATGTTTGTGCTGTTACAACTGTTTCCCTGCAGATATCAAGTCTGTGGTGCTCTGTGGCATAGAGACTCATGTTTGTGCTGTTACAACTGTATCCCTGCAGATATCAAGTCTGTGGTGCTCTGAGGCATAGAGACTCATGTTTGTGCTGTTACAACTGTTTCCCTGCAGATATCAAGTCTGTGGTGCTCTGTGGCATAGAGACTCATGTTTGTGCCATTGCAACTGTTTCCCTGCAGATATCAGTCTGTGGAATGAAGACTCATGTTTGTATTTTTTTCAACTGTTTGCCTGCAGATATCAGTCTGTGGAATGAAGACTCATGTTTGTATTTTTTCCATCTATTTCCTGCAGATATCAAGTCTGTGGTGCTCTGTGGGATAGAGACTCATGTTTGTATCCAGCAGACAGTCCTTGACCTTCTTGAGAATGATTATGATGTCCATGTTGTGGTCGATGCTTGTTCCAGCCGCAGTCAGGTTGACAGGTGAGATTTGCAGAAGGGTTATTTTAAAAACTTATGAGTCTTGAAGATTGTTGCATCCTAATTCTGGTGTTGACACCTGTAGCCACTGCCTTATGCATTTACTGCATGTGCATGTTTCTGTATGTGACAGGACTAATTGCTTATTAACTAGTTTTTAAATGGGCCAGTGAAAGGAATTCTGTGTGATTTTATTTAAAAACTGGCATAATAATGAAGAGTCTTGCTGTATGCCACAACATTTTAGGACAAACAGAGAAGAGACTAAGCAAGATAATGTATCCAGTTTTATAAGAAAGAGCTGATGGTATTACATCAGCCATGCCCTCAGAATGAATAAGACCAGACTCCCTCATCTAGTCCTCATATGGACACCAGAAGGGAACAGAAATGAAGAAGACCAAGAGAGACTTTGCATAAAACTATCATCAGGGAACCAGGCTGTCTGCCTGTTCACTTCCCAACACATCATAATGTCCTGAAGAAAATATTCGGTTCTTAATTTATAATGTACCCCAAACACGAAATCCCCGTGGGAAATCCACAGCTGACCTGACAGTCCATTATTTCAAGGGGTGCAAGTGTGCTGTTGTGTGGTGCTTTTTTTTTGAGTGTTCATCTAGTGTCTTCTAATCCTAACCCTAAACCTAACCCTAACCCTAAACTTAGCTGTAGAGAAATCGCGAGAAACTACAACCTGAACACCCTAGAATTTATTGGGAATGTCTCCCGTGACGTTGTCGTGAAGTCAGGGGTAAGTTATAAATTAAGTACCAAATATCCGAAGGACACTAACTAATCAAGATCTCTGAAACGATGCTTGTCATATTACACAGAGCAAATGGCTGAACGTAAAAAACCTACATTATGACATGGTGTAAAGTGTTCAGGACTTTTATTTCTCATAGAGAACATCAGAATATAAATTTAACTTTGACTTTCGATAATACAAATGGAGGATAGGCATGGCAGAATGTTAAGCTTCAAAGTTATTATTCCTTCTGACAGCGCTTTGGCTAATGCAGTTTCCACATATGGACGGTTGTCTATGGTTTCGCTGCCTAAGCTGCTTGGTGCAGCCCTGTGAGCTGTGTTTTTCATCAGTATGGCCAGTAGCCAGTTTACATGTGAGCTGGTGAAATACCTTATGTAATAATTCTACGTGTGTATAGCCAACTCATCGTGCCCAACTACTTCCATCAACAACAAACTGCATTTCTGGTGGCGACTCTTGGCTTTGGCATCACTAGCCACTGCCATATGCATTGACTGCAGGCACATATTTGTGGATTGATCCGGGACTAACTGTTTGTTCACCAGTTTTTCAAAGGAGACAGTGAGTGACATTTCATCTGATTTTCACTGGCACAGGAACAGAGCAAGTATGGGGAAACCCGATTGCAGTGAAGTTGAAACCTCGACTAAGACTAAGAATTTAAAGATAAATTAAATATTACTCATGCATTAGGCCATGTCATCTTTTGTTGATAAAATATCTTTTGAAGTCTGATACGTTTTTTTGTGTGTCTTCAGAATGTATGGATTTCAGCGAATACAGCAGGCTGGGGCACACTTAACAACTTGTGAGAGCATTATTCTGGGACTTGTGCAGGATTCTTCTAATCCAAGGTTTAAAAGTATTAAGAAACTCATCTATGATGTTGCACCAGATAGCGGATTGGTGCCTGGAGTAGCTGAGAGCACAGTTTAATCCTTTCATGCATTACATATCACATAGTCTGGATTTCAGTTTACTTTTATCTAGACATTCCCCTTAAGTTCTCTGTCCTCATCTTCAGCAGCAAGCGCAGAATTCCAATTCCAATTTTACTAATAGCAGTCTGATTGTATATCCGCCCCACCTTTCCCTTGAGTGATGACCCTCAACCCAGTCCCCTGGGCACTCCTCACAGTACCATTCTCTTCAGACCATGAGGATCCATCTGTGCTTCTGCGCTGTTCACTCGCTCCCAAAGGGCCCTTACAACATCTAGCTTGTCATGAATCAGTTCACCACCAAGTTGTACAGAACCAGCAATTTGGTCTGCATGTTTATTTCCTCAAACACGGCAAACTAGATATGGTCAAGGTCCTAGATCGTTAGGATGTCAAGGGAATGATCCAGCAGGGAGTGGCCAGTGAATGATGCACTACACTCAGAGGAAGGCTAGACAGACATATAGTCAAGCCAGAATTTGAACTCTGCTAAATGCTGAAGATGAGGACAGAGCACATGTGGAAATGTCCTGAGTGTTGTAATGTCAGTTTCAAACTCAGCCATATGGAAATGAAAGGGATTAAATAGTATGAAACATTGTTTGTTTACCCAGTAACAATGATACTGAAATAGCCTCCTGGTTAGTCATGTGACAGATTTATGTTAAAGAGTACTTTATCTTAAAGAGTACTTTCTGCTAAAGAATACTTTCTGCTAAAGAATACCTTTTTTTTAAAGAAAAGTTTATGTTAAAGTACTTTATGTTGAAGTATGTTTAAGATAACTTTATGTTAAAGAATACTTTATGTTTAAGAAATACTTTGTGTAAAAGTATGCCATGTGTTTAAGAATATTTTATGCTTAATAATACTTTTCGTTATGAAGTGCTTTATGTTTAGGATAGCTAAAAATAAAAGGAAGAATACGAAAGCTTGTTGTGTAATTTGTTCATATTTAGTGGCAATGTAATGTTTTCAGCCATGATAAACAGAAGCTCCATCTCATATTTACAGTGTTTGTGTGGGAGGGCTGTGCGTTTTGTTGACATGCCTACCTGCTATTCTTGTAATAAAGTGTTGAGTCCTCGTTTGGCAAACATGGTGTCAATAAGCATAAACAGTAGCCTAGTTTTGCCATCTCTCATGATCACTAGAATCATGGATTAGGTCAGTGTTCCTCTCGCCTCATCCATATGGCCAAACCATCCTGGTATTTATCCCTTTGCGCCCCCCCCCCCCCCAGTCTTATCCCATCAATCTTGCCAATATTACCAAGTTCTTGGGTCCGTTCTTTTTCATGAGATGTCCACATGCACCCATGCATACACACACACACATACACACACACACATACACACACACACACACACGCACACACACACACACGCACCCACACACACACACGCACACACACACGCACACACCCACCCACCCACACACACACAACCCCCGCACACACACACAACCCCCGCACACACACCCACACACACACACACAACCCCCGCACACACACCCACACACACACACATATATATATACTAGTTGTGTCTGATTTCTGTAAAGTTTAACATTTTCATGTGTCTTGAGGAGCAGGCTCTGTCCTTCAGGTTGATCCAGCCAAAGCCGAATATCAGGACCTGTTCTGAGAAGCTATGTTATGTTATCACCATCGACGTCACCGCACAGTGATCATTCCCATGATTGCTCAGTCATCAGATGTAGTAGCCACTCCACGGAACCTCTACTGAATGTTCTCTTGAGGAGTTGGTTATAATCTTTCTAATCTTGGCCTTGAAGGGGGCATAGACATACTTCACCATGCTTTACTCCCAGGTCGCGCAATTGTGTTAATGTCAGATATTTGCTATTATCCACTAGTCCAGTCTGTAGATCACTGATGGTGTCTGCTCTGTCCATGCTTCTTCCCACGTGCGTTGGTGCATTTTTTGCCAATTGGTCCATTCGCTCATAACATTTTTGGCCAGAATGATGACCGGGTGTGCAGATTCAGGTGAGGAAAGTTAAGGTGACTAGCATGACCAGGATATAAAATACCCATTTAGTGACTGTTGGTCTGTTAAAGAAAATATGGGAATAGCACTGTATACTGAATATACCTTGTGGCATTGTTAAAAATAAAACAGCCAAAGTAGGTAAAAGCAAGAGTCCTACAGTGTTTCAGGTGTCAATAGTTTTGGCATACCCTTCATACCTGTAAAATGGAACATGTAAAGGTTGTTGTTCATCCATGATGAGTGTGAAGATCCTTTTTCATCCAAAGTAGCAATCATCAATGATTATGAGTACATAGATGGCCAATTAGTCCAACATAAGCCTGGAAAGTTCTTTAGCAGTGCGGACAACAGGGGGAAGCCGTAGCAAGTGTGGGATTAGCGATTTGGTTTTCTTCTTCATATACAGGTGCTACCAAGGTCACCAGCCATTTAATCAGTAGCCACACCCCAAAGCAGACGCTGAATTCAGGGGCCCCAACCAAACAGATGATGTTCTGCCCAAGCAGCGACAGAGAAAGATATCTTTTGCGAGAGAGAAGCAGTGATGTGAGTTCAATTTCATTGCCATTATCAGAAATCAAAACACTTAACAAGGAAAAATACAAGGAATTGTGGAGAAAACAAACCAACAGTAAATATCAACAAGATTACATCAGCAGACTCAACAGAAAGCAACATACAACAATTTTCGTCTACAAACTGGACACTGCAGGCTCAACTACCACACGCATCAAATAAAGACTGTACAGTCCCACAGAGCGTGTCAAACAGGACCACAAATACCTGAGCATATTCTGCAGACCTGCCCACTCTACCTACAACTTAGATAAAAAACTTGGCCTCAAGAGCAAAGTGTGCAGAGCAGGCAATGGGGAACCATGAAGGACCTGCTACTGACATGCGAGATCATAGATGCAACCCACCTGATGGTCTGACTTGAGAATATGAAACCGATCACAAAGAAGAAATTTCTGTCATCGTCATCATCATCATCATCATATAGGGCATGCAGTGACATTCCTCCATTCAATTCTATCCTGTGTAGTCTCTTCTATATCATGGATGGAATCCAGTCCAACACCGTTGGCCTCTCTCATCAACACTTTTCTGGGGGTTTTCTCTTGGATGTCCTCATGTCCTCAATCAATTATTTTGCCATTTAAGTGCTTCTTTTGGGATTCTCTGGCGTCTCAGGATGTGCTCTTTATATTGCCATGTTCTTATCTTATACTTGTTGATAATTTTCCTTAGTATGTAATTATATTTGCATTTTTATATTTAAGAACTGTCATATCTGCATTGAGGCTGAGATGTTTTTTTGTAATGTTCACTTTTTTGTACAGTCAAGTAGTATGTGGTTGATGTGAAATTTTTGTTTTCATCCTCCACTGATACACATGTTTGCTAATGTAAAAAAAGTAAAGAACCCTTTCCACACCTTCAGGTGTTTTGGGCATATAGGGCTAGACTTATATATTATAGACCTTCAACATCTTCTTCTTCTTTATATACTGACTGTAAGCTCCAGTGGAAAGTCCTTGTTTTTTTTACAGGACATTGTAGAACCAACATCAGCATTTTTGGGGGGTAATTTTACTAGGTAATTTTACATGCAGTAGTTTGCCATTGCTTACCTAATGGTCGTCTGTTGATACCAAGAGCAGGCAGTGTAAAAGCCAGATATGTAAAACAGATATGCACACAAAACTCAAGTTCTGGAGTAATATCAAAGTCTAGAAGTAGATGAACAACCAGAACTTCCTTCCAGAGTTTGCAGCTGATGGATGACAAAAAGAAGGTCAGACTCAGTATATATTCACTGAATTCATTGAGTCTGCTATATTGATTTGAGTCTGGCATCCTTATTATAGTGTCTCTGAGGCTGCATGGTCTCAAGGCATGGTCTCCGCCTCGAGTGCTACAGGTTCCGGGTTCAATCCCTGGTAAGAGCTGTGATTTTTTTCACGTGGGCTTGGACTTCTAGCAATTCCCCTGGTCTCTGTGTAGTGAAATGGGATGCCCGTGTGTATTGTTGCCCATACAAAAAATCCCTTGGCACTTGGAAATCAAAAAGAGTAGCCTAACGGCACTGCCAGAGCAAAATTTAGAGTTAAAAAGCTACTCAAAGTATTTCAGGATCCTCACCGGTGCTACAAAGCCTGTGCAATGTGCTGAGCTTCTTCAGCTCAGACTTGAGTTAGAAGAAGAACAGAGCACTTATGGGTAACTACCCACGTGCCATGATGTTGATCGGTTGTTCAAAACTTCAAACCTTATAGTTTCTGTATTAATTTAATCAACAGTTTCACATCTTTATATAGATCCTCTTTTATAGTTAGTGAAATACTTCCTATGTTTTGTTACGTGTCTGAAATATTTATGTCTTTCAAATTTACTGGACGGCTTTTTGTCTTCAGTAAATAGAAACATTTAGTGACAAACTGACCATCTTTTTTAGTCAAGCACTACTCATCTTTAGATAATTGTCTGAATCGTTTGCTTCAGTGTCACCAATTTTGAAACAACTGTCGGAAACATTTAGTGGAGTGTGGACATTCTTTAAATAACTGAGAAATTTAGTGAAGTGTGAATCTTTGAATAACTGAAACATTTAGTGGAATGTCGTCAATCTTTGAATAACTGTCTGAAACATTTAATGGAGTGTCTGAAATATTGAATGGAGTGTCATCAATCTGTGAAAAACTTGAAAATTTAGTGAAGTGTCATCAATCATTGAACAGCTGTCTGAAACATTTACTGGAGTGTCATCAGTCATTGACCAACTGTCTGAAATATTTACTGGAGTGTCATCAATCTTTAAACAATGGTCTTAAATATTTACTCGAGTGTCACCAATCTTTGAACAACTGTCTGAATTATTTACTCGAGTGTCATCAATAATTAAACAACTGTTTGAAACATTTACTCGAGTGTCATTATTCATTGAACAACTGTCTGGAACATTTACTATAGTGTCATC